CAGGAAACTAATAGATACTATCTCCAACACCGTGAGGCGTACAACAGAACCAATAAGGTTTTGAAATGGGTGGATGTCACTTCAACAGAAATGAAAAAATTTTTGGCTATAATCATTCTAATGGGGCTTACGAAGAGAGAAAGCTTGAAGGATTATTGGTCAAGTGACCCATTTCTAGAAATTGCAATTTTCGGCAAACTCATGAGTCATAAGAGATTTGAACAAATATGGTGGTGTTTGCATTTCAATTCATTTACAGTTTTCAAAAAGGTGAACAGAAATTCTACTTTGAAATACAAAGCATTTCTGTTGAAACTATCAAAAGCTTGGGCTACTGACGTCACGGTGGTGGCAGTACCTGCGTCAGACACAGACGTAGTGCAGCCGGGGCCATCTGTTCGCACCCACCGGAGGCCTCAAGTAGACCCCCCTGGCCGACTTTCGGGTGATATGCAGAAACATATTCTCGTGAAAATTGTGAAGAGTGAATATTGCAAGAAGAAACACCCTTCTAGGCAGTGCCGTGTGTGCGCAGAGCACAAGAAGAAGAGTAGAACTGCCTACATGTGCAACTTCTGCGTAATGCCTCTTCACAAAGCGGGAATGTTTCCAGAGATATCACACGCGCAAGCACTTCTAGGAGCTCTAGTAAGTGTTCTCAATTTCAGTTCATAAAATTAATTAGGAGATTTTATATTAATTTTTAGAGTGAACAGTACACAAGTTAGGGTAGTAGGTTTAAAAACGCCGGTCCCCAGGGTGATTTAAATGTTTAAACCACCGGTCCGCAATGTGTTAAGTAATTCTGGATGTAAAACTTGTAAATGGAGAGGCATGATATCCTAATTACATGTTTGTTTTCTGTGCTGAATACGCAGAAAGAGCTGATTGGTAATTTGTATTTCAGGTGAGGTATTTCCTGAATTTGTGTCTGATCACCTTGTCCCACTGTGGTTCCAGTTTGCCACATCTAGCACTCCGACACAAGCCAAATTGGCAACCTGTTGCTTGTGTAGCCATGCTTCAGAGCCTGTCATCTCACATATCCTAACAGTATGTAACAACAGATAACATTGTCTCAGTTTTCCAAGAGGTTTCTCTGCCAGAATTCTGTATGTATTTCTCATCTTTATTGTAGGTATAAGCCCAGCCTCTGTAGCCTCCTAGATTTAATTATTCTGACGTACAAGATGGTGTGTATAATAAAAAAGTGCCTCCATATGTAGTATCCTAAAAAGTGATTATCCATATCATTATCATTAACTCATATTGCTGCTTGAATAAATTACCAGTATAATAGACGTATCACTAAACCAGTGCTTCAGATGTTATATACATCAAACACACCTCATACAGTGAGCAGTGTCTGGCATATTGTGCAATGATGCCATGATAAATAGCCATTGCAAACTTTCTACAAAGGAATAAACGGAGAAGTAAGTTTGCCTCGACTCAAATCCTTGTATATTGCATCAAAATTATTAACTTTCCTCTTCAAGAGGAACAACTTTTGTCTTTACCAGTTTTTTCTGTGGCTATCGGAAGAAACAGCGTGAAATAGACAGGCAGGCAAGAAGATGAAATCTGGCTATTGTATGTGTAGAAAATCTTTAATTTTTCCGGTGTTCTCTGTTTCCCTCTGTCCATGGTCTTGTTGCTAAGTGTCCATAACCAGTTTTATAGTGCAAGTGCAATCAATGTCCACTGGCATTTCATTGCATAGCAGTCATTTAATTTATAATGCAATCATTGTATGATGCATTGTTGGTAAACAATAGGAAATTGGCCAGCAAGAACATGTATTCACAGGCTTACAGCAATGAATGAACAGTTTAATTATTTTAGTACAATTTATTTTAAGAAACATTTGGACAAATAATGGGCACTTTCAATAGTATCTTTTACATTGACATGCTTTGTATATAGTCCCTTATGTCAGAAATTCAGTTTTTGCCATCACTTTTGCAGGAACTTATGAAAAACCTGGACTTAGTCGATGAACATTATTTGACAAAAGAAGTTGCTGTAGGGCACTTTGCCACTCACTTGCCCAACTATACAGACACAAGATGCATTGCTTATGTTACAGAGATGTGTCACAAGGTAAGATAATTTATGCCATATTGTATGCCTGATTTTATTTCAAGTAATTTGACTTCCTGTGCCCTAGTACAATAGTTATGTTCCTAATTTGTTTTAATATAAAGTGTGCATTGTAATCTTTATGGGAAAGTATGTGATAGATGATTGATCAAGTTGGTATAGTGATTAAGCTTTACATTTAAATTGGAGGGTATCTTGGCTGAATTACTTGCTCTCATAACCGATTCTTCATGTTTTTTTAGTCTCTCCATGTGTATATGATGACAGTACCGTAAATTCCCCATTTCTTCACTGTTCATTTAGTTTTATAACACTAGAACATTATAAAGCATTATGATGTTAGAAATGGGATGATTAAGTAAAGAATTAGTTATTCTGTGTGATAATATTTGTCGAATGTGAGTCCACTCTTATCCTGACATGGTGTATCTGTATGACGAGTGTTTGTTACACATTTAAACATAATTTAAGATATATCACAATCCAGTGCAGCTACAGCTATGAATTATATATTAAAATAAATATTGTTAGACATTTTTAAAATTTTGGATAACTTGAGTGATGTTTTGAATTTTCTCATAGGATCCTGAATTAGAGTCCAAAATTTTGAAAATTGTAATGAGTCCCTGAGAGAGATGCTGGAATTTGTGCTTGAAATTTTGGCCTCTATGAATGTTTTTCTTACACACTGTAAAATTATATCACAGAAGTTGTCTTAAATTTATATTGACATGAATTCCAGCGGTAGTTTAATATATGTAAAACATTCTCATCCTTCTCCTCCACCCCACCACCACCACCATAATTTTGATTGGGAATTAAAAAACCAGTGTATTCATACAGAAATTGTCTTAAAATGTTATAAAGTATACATGGATATGGTGACAAATGCATTTATATTTGTATGAAACACTTCATGTCTTTAAATATAAACAAAGTGTTTGTGAATATAATGTTTATGCTTTTAATACTTTTTCTCTTATAGTTTGTTCAGAAGTCAATATTTCAAGATTTGGAAGATGAAAGTAGTAATGATGTTCAGTGGTATGAAAAGGATTGTCTTCCATATGAAACAAAGTGTAAGGTTAGTTAAGAAATAAATAGAAAGTGAAATTTGTCTAAAAGGGCTCAGAAATTGTTTCCTGCTTCTTACATAACCTTTCATTGTACAGATTATGAAATATTGCACCTATGGTTCTGTTTGAGTCACCAAAAAGTTCTTTCACATTTAAAACCATTCCATTCTTCATATAGATTTCTTATATTCATTAAAAAGTACACAGTGACAAAATAAAGCTAAAGTAATATATCATTGGACATAAATTTTGATTTTAAACATAAACCAGAGTAGAAAGGTGCATGCCAAATTGGAGTACACATATTTTCCAAATGCATTCTTGGTGATTTGACACACCTTGTTGGTCATGATGTTCATTTATGTCTGGCACAAACCTTGTAGCAGTACAATTACATCATGCTTCTTCTTCGTACTTATAGCAATAAATGTTGAATTTACCAGATTTCTATCTCTTATATGTACCTACTTTACCTCTGAAATAGACTGAAGTGTAATATTTCTCAATCTTTTTATTAGTATTTTGGTGGCATATTCTATCACCATTAATGTAACATAATATTTAAATATTGAAAATAGAAAGAAATGAAATGAACACCAATTGTAGCTTATATTATACAGGATGAGGCGCAGAAACTTCCTTTTTTTTGAAGGATAATAAAAGGAAAATTATCACTGTTAGACAAAATTTATGTTTAGCTAATGAAAGAACATACTTTAAAGTTTTAAATCATGTAGATTTAAACAAAATATCTTGAAGGTGGTGGCCACCGTTCTCTATGAATTTATGCAACCGTTTTCTGAAGTTCCCCTCTGCACGTTCCAACATGTGCACCGGAATTTGGGGTACTTCCTGCCGAATAACATTCTTCAGCTGAAGCAGGTTTGTGGGGCGATGTTTAAAAACCTCTGCCTTGAGGTATCCCCATAAAAAAAATCACAGGGCGTTAGATCAGGTGAGTACACTGCCCACAGGATGTCACCTTGAAGCGAGATGAGCCGTCCGAAGAACTTTGCCCTCAAAACTGTCATCGACGCTCAGGCTGTGTGGGCCGCGGCACCATCCTGTTGGAACCAGACATTTTCTAGATGCATTTCTTCAAGAGATGGTTCGAAAAAGTTTTTAATCATGTCCACATACTGCTGTGAATTGACAGTAACTTCATGACTGTCTTCTTCTTCAAAAAAAAAGGGCCAATAACTCCAACTCTCGACAACGCACACCATACTGTCACCTTATCACTGTGAAGTGGCCTCTCATGGAGCTCTCTGGGATTGTTACCACTCTAGTAGAGCATATTCTGCTTGTTGACATATCCGGATAGGTGAAAATGTGCCTCATCACTAAAGAAAACAAGTGCGTCAGGGGGTAAAGTTTCCAATAACGTTTCGCACGCCGTTACTCGGTTCTGGAAATCACGTGATGACAATTCTTGCACAAAAACCATCTTATAGGGATGGAAATGAAGATGTTCGTGAAGAGTTCAGCGTATTGAATGATTGGATATGTCTAGGGCGACTGCATGTTTGCAAGTGGAGCGTCTTGGAGATCTCAAAATTGACTGTCAAACTGCCTCGAGATTTTCTGATGTTGTAACAGTCCTTTGTCATTCTGATGATTTTTTCACCCAACACCTGGTCGTCCTAAAGTTCTCTACCCACAAAACAATCAATTTCCGGTTGGGAACCGGACCTCTGGGTTTAATTCTGAAGTAAGTACGGAATGCACGCTACACCGCCACGTAGGAATGGTTGTTTGAAAAATAGGCTTCGACAGCAAACGCACGCTGCTCACTCGTCCACCTCATGTTTCCTACTGAGGGGTATTAGACAGAAACTTCTGCAACTGCTGCATTCGCCGAGCCTATCCCCACTTTTCTGCGACCTCCCCTCCCTTCACAATGCATCTTCACAAAAAGGAAGTTTCTGCGCCCCACTCTGTACATTAATTATATGTGCTTTGTGAAAATAATGCATAGAAATACATATATACGAATATATATATTCATGTATATGGTGCTGAAGCAGCATGATATCGAAATGCTTTATTTTAATGTATGGCTTTGATTGCAGGTTCAGGCACTGAAAGCACTGACTCGACTGACTGTCAGATTGCGTGAGCAAACAACCACAGAGAAGACCTTGTCCATTCTTAGCAAGATTGTTGAAAATGGTGGTGCCTACAGCAACATCAACAACCTTAGGTAATCAGAATAATGATAGAACTCAAATAAAATTTTATCAGTTTTCTCAAAAATGCCTGAGTGTACAAAAAAAGTATAGCTGAATTAACAAATGGATCTGATTCAAATTAGTGACATTTAAATGACACTATATAAAATTCTTTGGCGCACGCAGTAGCTTAGTTGGTTGAGGCACTGTGCTATGAGCCGGAAGTTGTGGGTTTCTAGTTCCAATGAGGTCATTGGTTTTTATCCAATTTACCTAATCCTTCCACCCACACTGACCCTGGGGGTTGTCTCAGCCCCTAACAGAAATGAGTACCAGGAATCTTCCTGCATGGCAAAGGGCGGCCAGTGCATAAGGCTGACAACCTTACCACCGTTTGTGAGCTGATTGTCTACAAAATGTGGGAGCTTCGACATCTCACAATCCTATGGGCCCTCATGGCCTGTTACAGGGATAACATTGTCTTTTACCTTTATTATATAAAATTCTTATATGGATATTTAATGAAGTAAAATAATGAAAAGTTGAAGAGTTCAATCATCTGGGATATAATGCCATGTATTCTGTTGAAAACTTGCTTCCTGCTTAATTCTGGTTTCTTGCATGGCTTATTCTTCGACCCTGAAGATGGAGGTGACATGTTGCTCCAACATGTTGGTTGACTTTCAACAGAATACATGGTGTTATATCCCAGAAGAAAGAACTCTGCGTAACCATCGCTGTGAGAACCTCAGTTCCTACAAAGATAAAGTTGTCCCTAAACCTAATTAAGCAATGTGCCATGAAAATGAAAATGGAGTGGAAGTATAGCTCAACACATTCTCATTGGACTAGGTAGTGATGAGTGGTCAGTTTCCCAGTCTGACCGTATGAGGAGAAGGTTTTTGTCTGGGTATGGCATCATAGTGGTGAGATTTATTTGTAAAATCCAAGTAAGAACTGCAAAGATCATGTATGGAATATGTGTGACCTGTATTCCATTCTTGTAATTGTTTCAGTCATAATGGATGTCTAATTACATACTGAGATATAATCTACATTAGGCTCTTGGCTGACGTACTTATATTTGTAATATAATCCTCACCTCTTACTTTATCCAGGTTATATTGTTTACAAGATTTCCTTTTCTTTGACTTATATAATTTTTCTTAATTTTAGTTCCAACTCTGACTAGTGCTGGTAGAGAACAATTTTCAGCCCATTTTCCTTATTTTATAAGTAAAGAGTAGGCTTATAATGTCATTACATCTCTGTGTTTGTATTACCTAACAACATTTGAACCAGGTAATGGGTATTCATGAAACTTTTTAGGATAATTGTGCTGCTGAAGGTCACCCAACATTTGTGCTTTTAATTTTATACTGTTGCTGATACAGATATGGCAGATGTACAAGTCCAAGGTGCAGCAACATTAACTGCACATACTATAAGGGTCCTGAAATTTGATGTTGTAATTAATCTTCAGAAACATAATTTTTTAAGGTTATTTTTTTTTTGTAAAATATAAAACTCCATGGTTGTCACAAGAAATCTGTATTTATTTTTTGGTTTGATGGCAGTAGCTAGGTAAATTTTCTATGCAAATATGTCTTAAACATACCTACAAGTCTGGTATGGCCCATTTTTGGTACATTAACAATTACACACAGGGTAAAGGTAAGAATAAAGCTATCCCTGTAACAGGCCATGAAGGCCCATAGGGTTGTGAGATGTTGAGGGTCCCACATTATCTAGACAATTGGCTCAATGATGGCGGTAAGGTTGTCAGCCTTACATGCCGGCTGCGCTTTACTCCCCAGGAAAATTATTTATTTAATTCCTGGTACTCATTCCTGTTAGAGGCTGAATCAACCCCAGGGCCATAGTGCAGCAGGAAGGAAAAAAAAAAATCCAATGACCTCATTGGGACTTTAACCCGCGACCTTCTGGCTTGTAGCATAGCCCCTCAACCAACTACGCTACTGCATGCCCCCTTTACACACAGGGTGACAATGTGAAATATGAAGGTTATATTTGGTAGATTTAGTATAAGTGGATTCTGATAGTAAAAATTATGCACTGAAATGGGTCAATAAATTGTATAATCATTAATTTACTGCCCATTAAAATTTCAACATAAATGTTAAAGAGTTCTCATCCCTCGCTACAGTTTCCACAGAGAACCCTTCAATTGTTGTGCTGTTATATGTATATCATAGCCATTGAGGAACACTATAATTTCATTGAATATTTACACTATATATAATCATTGCTGTATAGACATCTTACTAGAATTGGCCGTGCCACAAGATTGAAGTAACTTTGTTATCAATGGTCAAGACTGTGATACCAAACAAAACATAGGTTCCTCTCACTGCTATTTTTTGTTACCATCTTTTGGTCTGTTTGTTCCTACCAATAACAGTGGCTGCTACAGATGACAGAAAAGCAGGCCGCAGCCTTTTATAGATATGTAGGGACTTCCTGCTAGCCTCACTGTATGGCGTGAAGCATATGAAAGAAAGTAGCTATTACAACCTGTTTCTAGAACTTCTTGTCACATATGGGGTCTCCTGCAGAATATATAAAGTTTTGTGTGGTTCTTGCAAGTGCAGTACTGCTACCAAGGCATGGCTACGGCTGACGGCAGGATGTGCCTTTCTCAAGATATGTGATGTTCCATATCTTTATGCAAAGCAAGTTCAGAAGACATATTTTTTCAAGATGGCAGTTCTTATGAAGGTATGTGGGTGAAGTGATGCAAGGAATATTGTGCAGTCCAGAATTGGTCTCTGTTTTTATGGCATTTTTAAGGAAATTTCATCAAACTGGTTATTATGGGCTGAGAAACAAGAATGGTAATGCAGAATTTTGGAACGCACCACATTAAGGTGATATTGAGAGGTTTTAAGAGTTGTAGTTCTGCAGCTGTTGGTTATGATTTGATTAGATGAGAAGTTTCTGAGTTAGTCGTCCTGTTTTAGCTTTCCACTTGCCTAGTTTAATGTTCTAAGCAGCGTTTCAAAAATTTTAATTGAACAGATTTACTTAGTCAGTAAATAACTAACTTAAAGAAGTAAAAAGAAAAACAACTCAATAGTTCCAGTACATCTTAACCCTTCATCACAGGGTACCTTAAACCAGAGTCTATTGCTGGTTTCAGCACGGGTTATTATTTTGTTTCATATGTTGTTCCATTATGTCTCATTGCTTCATGTTCTGTTCTAATCCCCTGTGCTGGGTTGTTTGCTGTACCAGATTTAATTTTATCAACTCCATCTAAAACAGCGTAATGCACAAAATTTAACACATGCTGAAAATATAGATCTCATTGAGATATTCAACTTTATGCTTGAAGATTGTTTCAGTAGGTTGAATTCTTAACAATGAAACTTATTCTTGGTCTCCTCAGAGGTTGCCAATTCATCTTTGGTGTTTTGTAAATAATCCTATACTCATCAATGAATAAAAAATGTCTGTAATGGTCACTCCTTTCTTTGTCCAACTCTTGGCTTAATAATCTTATTTCAAAGCAAAGATGGGCTCATGTCACAAAAGCATACTTGCCCCCCCCCCCAAATTAGTTATGAATCTTTGGGCCGGCTTTCATGAAACTTGATATGAATATCATGTCAGTAGAGATTGTTTTATCTTCGCTGTGTTAAATTTTATGCTGTCAGTAATACTTAATACCTACTGTTTTATCTTCGCTGTGTTAAATTTTATGCTGTCAGTAATACTTAATACCTACTTGGCATTTGTAAAAACTTCTGAAATTTCTTGTGTTAATAATCTATGAAAAATATGTAACGTTCATAAAGGTAACTTCTGTAGAATGTAAAAGTGCTACTTGAGAGCTGTGCAAAATCTACATTAAGTTTTTGATTAGATGAAAATAACTAATGAAACATTCGCACTCAACATATAAATCATTCTTGTGGAAACTGTGTACATCGTAAATATGTGTACAAGTTCTATATAAAAGTATCCTTCTATGTTAACAGTTACAAACGTTGCAACACTGTGATACTTACGTTATTTCAGATAAATTTAAGGTGATGAGAACCCAAACTAGTAGAAATTATGCTCCAGAATAGAGCACTAAATTTTATATCTATTGATTTATATTTTTTCTCAGACTCACCATACACAATTAATTGTTCAAAAGAAAGCAGGAGTCATAAATTCTATATGGAAGCAGGAAGCTGGTCGCATGAAAGTTGTTTATGCCATGATATAAGCTCATTCAGATGTATTGCTGTTATACGTCTTTTTACAGGATGAATCAGAATCTGTTCAGCGTCTGTTTGTGAAAAAGCTGTGTGAGAGACTGATGCAGTGGGAACAGCAGAGATATGGTCTTCCCAGCATGTTCATATCATATTTTGTGCTGGCTGGCACTGAGCAGGATGAGGAAGTCAAGTCATTTATATCAGATGCACTGAACCTGTGTGTGCAGGACAAGCGGCAGCAAGTGTGGAGTATCATGTGTGTTACAAGATGTTAGTATCTTGCTGTAACAGTACAGCACAATTGGTGCCTCTTCTATGGCATATGTCAAAGATGTAATTACATCGCTGGTCAACTGATAGCTGAACATTTTTCATGAAATATTTTAATGTTCAGCTTGAATTGTTCTAGTTTATATTTATCTAATTACATTGCATCTAGAGGCATTCAAAATATAACTTTTGGTTGACAGCTTTTCCATTTTAACCTGTAACACATATAGGCTTTGGAGTTCTCACAGTGGTGTTCCATCTTCTGAGATATAATGTGATATAGTTTGTTGGAAGTTGAATGACGTTTCAGAAGAACATGTTGCCTCCATCTTCAGTGTTGAAGAGTAAGCCAAACAAGAAATCATCATGGAGAAGCCAGCATATTAGTTTCTTGCTTGGCTTACTCTTCAACACTGAAGTTGAAGGCATGTCCTTTCGAGGTGTCAGTTGACTTTTAATGGACTACAGCAGCATTATATCCCAGAAGAAAGAATTGCTTGTGAAAAATATTGTTCCAAGATGCAAATGTGTTCAACATAGGAGTGAAGGGGTGTCAGGATCTTGCAAGGTACTGCTGAAACATGATATGGGAGGATAAGTACTTACTGAGAAATGTTATAATTAAGGGCTTAATATCATCCTCCTGTTTATGTCTTGGTCTTCCAGGCCTTTGTGATATTTTTCAACCAAGAGGAAGTATGTATTTCTGGTTACTCCATTACATTCTACATATTCCTTGTAACTTCTACTAGTCTTCCTCTGTAAAACAGAGGTGGCATTGTAATATCTCATGGAACTTGCCAGTTTAATGCTGGTTTATTTTATGTTAAAAACCTTCTATATAGGAATTATGTTGATAAGAATAGGATTCACTTGACAATTTCAAAAGTGAAGATGTGGAAGAAACAACCACTAGGAAGACCAGGGACACTGTGGAGCGATGAAGTGAGGGAAGGTACACAGAATAGGGGTATACTGTAATGTTTGCGAGAGGTTAGGGAAGAATGGAGAAAACTTTATCATAGAGTAACCCAGTGCATTTTATGTTGTAATTTGAGGCAGTGCTTGTTTTGTCTTGCTGTTTATTGCTTCCTATGATTTTAGTGTTCAAGGCAGTGCTTGTTTTGTCTTGCTGTTTATTGCTTCCTATGATTTTAGTGTTCAAGAATATGTCCCATTTGTTGACCTGCTGTCAGCAAGCCCTGCCTGAATTTTGTGTCCAAGCAGCACTGCAAATAGTAGCAAGATTTGTGTTAGATTTCACCGATGATACTTCAGTCCAGCGGGCTTATGTATGTTTATTTTTCCTCTTGAATTCATTGCTGAGCAGCAAGAATGGTAATTTTGGATTACTGGCCACAGACTTCTACATTAAATTATTTGAGCTCATGAGATCCTGCAGGAACACAGTTAACCCAGAGGATGAAGAGCTTAATAAGGCAAGTTTGTCAAATCACCAAATTAAAAAAGAATATATTCTCGTTTTACTTAATATAATAGGCACATATATTTCCTGTTATTTCTTCATATTGAATAGGTATTCTTTTCTGTAATTAACCTGAATAGTAATACAGAATTCTGATAATTAAAACTATACTATTTATGTCATGTTTCAGAAAATATGGGCCATGTGCGAAGTTGGTGAATATCTTCTGTCTACAGTGAATTCAGTAGTGAATAATGATGCTGAAGTACCAGTACCAGTTCTTGATGAAACCTTCCATAAAATGGATCCCAGTATTGACAACACAGCTGTCAAGTATCTGACAGTCAATATGGAGAATCTTCTGAACGAGACAGTGGCTTCACAATTGGTTTGTTACATTGTGATGCCTTTTACTCTTATTTCATTTTGTACAATTGACCATTCTGACTAATTTTATATTGCTTGGTATCAAAAGTATGAAGGTTAGGAGATAAATTAATTTATATCAGTTATATTCTTGATGACCTTTGAACAAAACTCTAGGCTGTTATTTACATGGTTCTAAGTTGAATCCCTCTATGGGTAATGGTGTGGAACTTCCTTTGCACAGATGGAGTGCTTCCAGTTTGATAAGCACACTTCAAAAATTTTTCCAGTGTTCTTGCTTATTTTCTCTTTGCTATGATATGACAAGGTTTCTTGTATGTAGTTTTCAGACTCCACCTCTCTCTACCTGACCCTCAGTTTCCACCTATGATACCCTTGATTCACATCCTGAAAGGGTACTATAATTGCTATGATTAGCATGCATACTCTGTATGATCCCTAGAATAAGACAAAGAATGGGACAGCTGTGAAGGTTAAAATCTTGTTCTTCCCAAGATGCACAAGTTTACAACAACATGACTAGGTAAAATGGTCAATAAAGTAGTCAATGTGTTGCTGGTATTGCAAATGAATAACTCTCCACCACTTATGAGTCTGCCAGTATCTTCTCCCTCTCCTGATTCAACCTCTTAATGTGTATAGGCCTAATGGAGGTTCCGCTTACATGCTTACAGGAAGAAGGCTGTAGACATGAACTGTCATAAATTCATATTGATAATCAGATGCAGCTGTTTTGAATGATACCCAGTTTTTAAGCCAGTCTGTAGACCGTGACCAGTCTTGACCCAGCCATCAAATCTGGGGTTGGCATTCTTTCTGGGGCTCAGTGTCTGCATCTCATTTTGTAATTTATTTTTATTGGACCAGAACCCAAATGGAATGTGACAATACTTGGCTACCCATCACATTTTCCTACAATCGGGCTTACTGTAGAGACTGATTCTAGCCTTATGCTTGACACAGTTTGCAGATTGCTGTACCTGCATTTTACAAGACTAAGCTTTACAGCTGCAACGTCTTCTCTTATACCTCTTTTCTAAGTTAAATCTTATGCTGTATCACATTACTCTAAAACAAGAATATTAAGTTGAGGCAGCTTCTTCTAGTCGTTCTTCTGCCTTGTGGATGCTTCCATCTCACTGATTAGACAGAGAATATGAGCTATAATTAGAGTTGGTTCAAGTGTGGGACCCAAAGATTTAACATTACTAAAACCAGAATCTTCCATTGGACATAGTCTTAGCCATCTATATCCACCTCTTTTCCTCATAACCTAATTTTCCAGTGATATATCTTATATTATTCTCCCATGTCTTTCGCACTCTTCCTGGTTATTACATTCTCACAAGTTTCCCCACTAAAATACTGCCCTACAATACTAAATGACATGTATAAACTATGAAGGTACTCATTATGTAATATCCAAAACTCCCAACTTTTCTTCATCCCTTCTTGAATGCTTCAGTTTCAGACACTTAACAACTTGTGTTGTTCCCTTCAGGCAGGAGGCTATGTGCAACAACAGAGCAAAATTGGTTGAATTAATATCTTATTCATTTAAGACTTTTGTGTTTTGGAAAGATAAGTGTTCATACTACCTACAGTGTATTGGTGGTGAAAGAGTTGTATTCAAGTTATGGCACTGACATTTTCTGGTGAGACAGATCACAGTATAAGGGCAGTCTGGTTAAAACCAGCATGTAGTGTCTTGAGTAATATTGCAATATCCAGTACTAAGTTAGAAGTTTTATTTTCTTTTGCAGGGTGGTGAATTTGAAGAAGGAGAACTGGAGGAAGAGGGTGAGGAATGTAGCTCTGATGATGAAGAGGTGTGTTACTGTACTGCTCTGTATTATCTGTACCTCAGAGTCTTGAGAAAATGGTAATATTTATACAGCACTCTGTCAACACACTTCCAAACTTAGAGGCCACCATCACATTTGAAGTTTGAGACATGCATTGCCTGCTAATCATCATGAAGATTGATTTGTCAAGATATAGCAATCATCATGTTGTGACTGATTAGGGATTATAGTGGAAATACAGAAGAGTTGCAAGATATGAAAACTCTTGTCACTGATTTAGATAGAGACCACAGCCGATGTTACTGCAATACAGGTGTTGATTCTGTCCTTCATATTTTGCTCAGACTTTTGTTTTTGCCAAACACGAATATGTATCTGATGAACATCCATCTCTGCATTGCCTACAGTCAGTGTTGCATCTGAAGCAAGGACTAACTGAGAATTTGGCCACGCCATAGCTCTAGCAGTTAGTCACTGGCTTCCACCGCGGCGGCCCGGGTCTGGTCAAGTGGGATTTGTGGTAGACAAAGTGGCGCTGGGGCAGGTTTTCTCCGAGTACTTCGGTTTCCCCTGCCAATCTTCATTCCACCAATTGCTCCACAATCACCCTCGCCTATCATCTGGGACCAGAAGTGGCCGCAGTACAAGGGACTTAGTCCCACCCCACTATACACTTTGAACATTTTAATTATATAAATGGCAATATTCTTCATGCTGAAATTTATTCAGCAGTTGGGTGTTTATGCCATGTAGATGTACCCACATACACAGAACGTAGACACTCGAGCAGAATTGACATCAGTGGTTAACCAAGTTGAAAGCCTAAAATCAGTAATATTCTTCATTTTATTGTCCCATGGTGAGAACATACTATTAGCAGTTAACTCTTTGTTATGGATAGAATAGAACATAATACATATTTTTCTAGAATCTTGGTGATTTTTTTCTCGTTCTTAAAGGCTGTTTTTCAGTAAGTTTTAAGTCATCATCATCAGTAATCTGTCAAGACGACAGGTCCACAGTCTCTTTCAAAACAATTCCTCCACTTAATGCGATCTAGAGCTTTCTCCTTCAAATGACAGTGTCCTCTTCTGTCCCCAAGGTCATCCAGTATCTTCTTACGTCTTCTTGTCACTTCTATCCGCCCATCTAGCTTTCCTTTGATAGCTTCTTTTAGAAGGCAGTTTCTGCGTAAAACATGACCAATCCAATTAGCCTTCCGTTTTCTTATTTCATGTAGGATATTCCTCTGCTCACTGACTCTAATTAACACTTCTTCATTTCTCACATAATCGGTCCAACTGATCTTCTCCATTCATCTCCAACACCAAATTTCGAAACTTTCTAGATGTTTCTGATCTACTGCCCTAAATGTCCATGTTTCAGCCCCATACAGAGCTATGCTCCAAATGTAGCATTTCACTAGTTTCTTCCTCAAATTTAAGTCCAATTTGCTGGTAAAAAGATTCTTCTTCTTGCTAAATGCAGCTTTTGCCATGGCAATCCTGGATTTAATTTCACAAGTACACCTTCCATCATCTGTTAACAAGCTACCCAAATATTTAAAACATTTCACATTCTCCAGTTGTTTTTGGTCTATCTTTATTGTGACTGGGGTTGGTTGTCTCGAAATTTTCATTACTTTTGTTTTCTCCACATTCATTTCCATGCCATAGCACCTTCCAATTTCAATTAGTCTATCAATCATGCCCTGTAGCACAGTTTCTTCCTTAGCCATTAACACAAGGTCATCTGCATATTTCACAGTTTGAATAATTTGCCCTCCTACTTTGAAGTCACCGAGCCCATCCAGAGCTTCCTTGGTAAGGCATTCGCTGTACAAGTTGAACAGAATTGGTGATAAACAGCATCCTTGTCGAACTCCTCTTCCAATCTGCACACTTCCTGTCTCCCCCCTGTCCAGTCGTACTCTAACTTTCTGATCCATGTACAATTTGCTAATCAATCTTCTTTCATGCCAATCGATACCTGTTTCTTTCAGGATCTGCATTAATTTGGTCCAGTTTACCCGGTCAAATGCCTTCTGCCAGTCTATGAAGCAAACACACAGTTCTTCATCTATCTCCAAAGTTTGTTCCGCTATAATTCTCATCATCCCAATTGCATCCCTGGTTCCTTTTCCTCTTCTAAATCCAAACTGATCTTCTCCAAGTACATCCTCTATTTTCCTTTCAATTCTTCTTTTAAGTATCTTTGCTATTATCTTTGCTGTATGTGCAATAAGGCTTATTGTGCGATGGTCGCTGCATTTTAAGTAACAAACTTAAATACGTTAAGCTATGTCATTTAAAACCCTGCATCAACTTAAAAGTTATATAATGTCAAAACATGAGGATGACTAAGAATAGCTGCACTAATCCTCAGCCAGGATAGTAAGTATCCTGGCCAAGGTTTAATCTGCTGAGCACAAATTGGGCATTATTGCTACACTGACTTGCTCAGTACATTACAGGTTACTTAATTTTGTTCTACATTAGTAGAATGCCTCACAGTAATTAATTCTTTGGTTGAATGCTCTGAAACATGGGTGTACATATGGTGAAAATTTTTTACTTTTTTGGAAACTGTCCAATGCTTGTTTCTCTTGAATTCAAAGGAATTTGTCCGCATGTTGTTGGATCTGTTGTGTAGAAAGTTAGAGAACCAGATTCAGTATAGCAATATTATGTTTGGCATTCTCTTCTCCAGTTGTTAAATGATTGGTTCTCATCTTTCTGATCAATTTTGTAATTATTTCTTATTTTGCAGTTGAAACCAGTACTGCTAATCTTTTGTTTCACTTAATTTAAAATAAGTCTTCTACAGTATACATTTTCACTTAACTTCCTGTTGTTTAGAGTTATAATTTTGACTCTGTTCTGATTCAGTGAGGGATATCAATTAATGATTCATGTAATCCCACCTGCTCCTACTGCTAGCTGCTGTTAAAACCAAATGAACACCCAAGTAGCAAGTGCCTTGAATATTTGTGTTTTCTACACTTGGCACAGAAAACATGGATTTTATTCTAATTTTAGCCTACTTCACTTATTTTATAAGGCAAGACAAACTAGTGTGACTGCTCCCTCCCTTCCTCTCAATAACATTTTGACCAGCTGGTGCATTTTCATGATAGTTGGCTGAACATATGCCTGTGAGGATACCCACCTTGCTTTCATACTTGTGGTTACCTACAGTGAAATTCCAACATGGTAACCATGCGAATTTGTGGCAAGAAGAGATACTTTTGCAGGGTCCTGAAATTTTATGTTGTAATAGACCTTTCAGAAATATGCAACTTCTGCTTGTGGGTGTAAAAAATGTGGTGAGTGTTATTTTACCTTTTGATTTGATAATATAAAGTGTATTGTGGCATATAGTGCTTTGAAAAAAATGCAACTTTTGCTTTTGGGTGTAAAAAATGTAGTGAATGTTATTTACCTTTTGATTTGATAATAACATATGTATTGTGGCTATACACCCATTGCTAGGCAAAGACCTTGAAGACAACAGCCTTTGCTGTGCAACAGAATGGTAAACATACCTCTACAACAATAGATTTACTGTCGGAAACGGCGTTTTCTACGTGGTCTCTGGTGGTGAATTATTTTTAGGGCAATTGGGGCGACCCAGTTTTGTCAGTTAAGAGTTGATTTCTGCACAGAAGGCTGTGAAGATAGGACCTGAGTGCCAGAAGCTGAAGGATCTCCATTGTTAGAAACTGCTGGATAAATTTAATAACTCACTGTCTTGTGGTTTACAGGTGGCTGTATTTTATCCAAATAAAGGACAGTATGAGATACAGAAGCAGACTAGAAGCAGGACAGAATCACCACAGGCTACTTCAAGTAAGATCAGTTATTTTATGACTGTTTCTTTAGTTGGAAGCATATGGACATACTAAATTGAATATTATGTTAGTAGTTGTGTTTCATCTCTCTTCAAGTTGTGCAAATTTGGCTCAAGATTTCTATGATTTCAAATTTGAAGAAATCCATTATTCTTAAGTTGTGTCATGTATACAGACAGACAGATGGATGGAGTCAACTTAATAGGGACTCTTCAAGTTTGTGAATGCACTTAACAGTAGTGAAGAGATAAGCTGCAAACTAGATGAACTACACGTAGAAGTTTGGAATTACATTGTAGATAGTCTTTAACTAAATACAAGAAGAAGTTGTGTCTACACAGGCTTATAGTTAGCATGAGATGATCTGCAACAAAATATATTTGTGTTTCCAGTAAATGAACATGAAGGCAGGTGTCATGCACAGTTACAAAAATGCATTTGATAAGTATGTGTACTCCAGAATGGACTGCACGTTTCTGTTTTTGTCTAACCTGCTGGAAATAATCCATTAATGTATGCATGTACTCATGAATGGTTCTTCCAGACAATTTTAATTGCAGTGAATGTATTCACTCACTAACTATTCTCTTCCAGTGAAATATCTGTTAGCATGGATGGAGGGCTACAAGTTTACAAACACTACTAGAGAAGCAGTCTGATTTTTGTAATATCCTGAATACTGGGTCCTGTTATTTGTCTGGCTTGAGTTTGAGGCTAACCAAATTCAATGCAAATTTTTCCACGTACTTTCTGCACTCTTATCTTTACAGTCGAATATTTATGAATATGAGAAGCAGCATGGTTTAGAGTCACACAAAACAGTGTTAAGACAGTAAAGCTATGGATGTTGGCTAATCAGGTTAAGGACATAGGATGTATGTCTGTGTACAATCATTCATGTATGCATGTGTGTGTTTGTATACAGCCTGACCTAACTCATTTCCTGGATTTCAAGATTAAAGTGTGCAAATAATTAAATTTGTGGAAATAGGATGAAGTTATGGGGAAGCCGGAGAACATTCACAATTTAAGTGGTTATTAGAATGTTGGTACTACAGCAGCAGAATGTTAAAAAGTTGGTGACATGATCAAAATGTTGCAGTGATAACAGCAACTGAAAATGTTTTTACATGGGAAAGTGGTAAATGTTTGGTTTCTTATTAGCAGCCACTTACACTCTTTTTGTTTATCAAGCACTGAGAATTTTGGAATCCATCTGGCTCTTTGCTTTTGTTTCATTAATATTTAAGTTTAAGATGTGCAGGTACTTGGGCTATAGCACCAAAATCTGGTGGTGGGATTTCAACCATAGCTTATGGACATTCCAGCACAGGCGGAATGCAGTTGAAACCTTTGATGATTATTCATCTCCTCATTTTCTACAGGGAATTGCTGGGATAGTACCTTCAAATAGCCCATGATTACCTATTTCTATATCCTTACCCACTCTCTGTTTTTGATTGTTTTCACATCTCATTTGATATTGTACAACCCATTCAATTAAGCAACATCTTTAAATAACCTAATAACCAATAAATCAGCCAGTTACACATCAAAAAACGTATTCAGCTCTCCCTGACTATCTGGACATTAGTATTACACTTATTTCTAGGTAAATGCTTGGAGAAAGGGTACCATAGCTGAAACACTTCACTTGGATATGTTGGCTGAAATATTCCTGTTTCAGATGCTGAAGAATCTCCGAGAACCAGAATGCGATTACAAATTTCCAGGATTCAGAGATCTGCAAGAAAGAGAAGAAGGAAAAGCAGTTCTTTGAGGAAGAATCAAGAGGCTGAATGAGTCCACTGATGGCTTAGTGTGACGAGAAGTGCATATTTTTAAGGAACTCTGACCTTCAAACCATTACCAGCTTGGAGGGCGACATCTACCTTACAGTACACCGTTCACACATTCAGTAGTTAAATTTGTAATTCCCTTTTACTTTTAATTGTTGAATAATTATGATAACTTTACATTAGCTACCAGGGGAAGGTCTTTTTCTTTTCATGTAGTATGTATCAGTTTTCATGATTTATAAATTTTCAGTTTGGCTGCTTCTTGTATACCACTTAGTATAAAGCTACTTTGCATTAAATGCATGGAAATATAGCAGACATTTTTAACTTACGTGTCAAAATAGGTATTTCATCTTAAACACATGATGGGTTTTCTTATAACTGTGAAATCATTTAGAAAACCAGTAATTATTGTGAGAGACCATATCCAGAATTGTTCTGGGGCTTGTACAGCCCTTTCTTCAGAGGTAAAGGCAATTGTAGCATAATGCTGGATACTGATCTTTGTATTATTCTAAGGTTGTTTTATGTTTTCCCCCCTGGTTCCTTTATGTCTTCATGCTGTGGTGTTTAGACATAAGGTTGTCTTTGTTCTCACTTTTATCTTTACAAAAAAGAAATACCATTAATTATTTTTTGTCATGTTTGGAATTGTTATGTTTATATGTCCAGTTTCAGAGTTACAATCTTACCCATGTGTTCTTAGCTTTAAATGAAGCTAATGTCTGATTTTGTATGTTTGCTACTGAAATAAGTACCACATGTGATATAATTTTGCAGTAAAGCATTATATTTACCTCAGTATATTATATACCTTTCTTCTTCAGAATAGAAGAGTGTTCTAGCCTGATGAAAGAGGCAACAGATTCCTTCAAAATCTATCTATTTATTTATTTTTTTATTTATTTACTTCATATCCATGGATCATTATACATGATATAGGACAAGTCAAATATTTAATTTGTTTCATTCTGGTCCGTCACACTAACAGTATTATACAAATGATAAAACAATTCCACCCAGTGTGACTGTTGAAGCTTTTACTACTTCACTTTTTAGCACCCTAACATGTTTCGGTCCTTATGGACCAACATCGGAGGGAACATCAATACTTTTAGAAACTACTATTACATTGGGTGTTTTGATTTTTAAAATACATAAATATACAATATTTGTAATATACACTTATACAAAATCCAAATTTCTTACAACTACAGCAACAGTCCTTGATGCATTAAAGTTCTTTCAAAAACTTTTTGTTATTTAAGTTAAAATTCTATAACCGAGTAGGTCCGTGTCCCTTGTCCTTTCATTTTTCTTTACGGGCCTGAAATGTGCCACCTGTCTTTCTTGGGAAGGTAGTTCTTGTTGTCATCCTATGTCTGTTCGTAGCATGCTGTGTTTTTACCGTTCCAGTATGCACATACTGGAATGGTAAAAACAACACCACTTAAGTTTGATTTAAGTGTTAGTACAAGAGGACAGATTTGTCAGTCACATATTTTCGGATACCTGTATCATGGCACTATCTTATGTAATATTTTATAACAAGTACTTTATAATAAAAAAGTAAGATGCTGGCCTCCATACTCAGAAACTCTTTGGACTGAAAGGACCCAAGTTTGAGTGTTAGCTTTCGGAAACATAGTGTGACATATTTGCACTATACAGGACACCCCTCTCCAGTGGTGACGTAACAGCATCGGAGCGACTGCTGTTGCTATGGTAACAGGCCAGTCAACACTCCGTCCCCCTCCCCTGCAGTGACGTAACATCACTTCCCACAGTGACATAACAGGGGACACCACGATTGCTACGCAGCAATAAACAACTCTAGGCAGCGTTCCCCAGCAACGCCTCTAAACATGACGCCATGCAACAGTGAAAGCTATCACATAACTATTTTCAGTGTTGTCAGTGCGGAAGCTACATAACAGGAGTATTCGTCAGAGTAACCAGTTAGTTGCGATCTAGCATTTGCCGGAGTGAGTTGAAGTCCATTGTTATTGAGTTGTGTCGAGTGAATGGAAATGACTACAGGAGAAGTATTTGTGATACTGCTGATGGCAGTAATTGTGAAAGTGAATTGTGTAATTGTGAGAGTGAGTGTTCAATAAATTTGCTAGGTCCAAGACGGTATGAAGTTATTTGTCGCATGACATACCCAACACGTGACAATATCAATGACAGGTACAATAGTATTAGTATTTATTCAGTATTCCAGACATCCACAAGATGGATACAGAACTTGTCCTTACTCAGTATATACAGACCAATTACAAAAGTTGTTTACATGGAACATTACAACAGTGTAAAATATAAATAGTTAAGACCTTAGATTACATAAATAAAAAGCCAGAAACATGTCATTCAAGAACAGTCATATTAAAGAAGAAATCCACAATAAACAAACAATTATAAGTTACTAAGAGTAAATAAATCCTTCAGATTACAGAAAATAAGATTAATCGGCAATGCACAGGTAAAACTCATAACAAAACAGGCATTATAAAATGAGCTTACAATGAACAAAAAATCATAAATTACAAATACAATACACAAGTGAGCCATAAAATTTACATTCAGATATGTTTATTACAACTACTCTCATCATTGATCAAAGCACTCTTCCAATGAGTAGAGTGAATTCATGTATAAAAATTTTTTTTAATTGGTTTTGAATTTAGCTATGTTACCATTAACATTCTTAACCTTTAAACGCCGGACTTCGAAATAGTGGTAAACTTGAGCTGGCTGGAGTTTATTGAAATGCCCGCTGCTGGTGCTTGTTTAAATGCCCGTTGCTCCCTCGTGTTTAAATGTCCGTTCCTGTTAGGCGGTTAATCAATTTTAAGCGTTGTGTTTAAAAATGCTGTATCTAGCACAATTTTTATGATAAATGGATGGTATTAACTTTGTTTATATCAGCAAAGAACATAGTGTCGCATATTATAACGGAAGATTTGAAATTTTTAATACAAAGTGTTATACTCTATTTTCAATTTTTTGTGTTTTAATTTTGATGCGTACTGCAAAAATTGTTTCCCAGTTCTTCACAGAGTTGTTCTGCATTATAAATTCATTTCTGTTTGTAACACTTGACAAATTTTAGCAGTCCCTGGTGTCATAAAACAGATGGAAGCAATAAAATCATTTGGTCTTCTGCTAGCACTGCTTACACCCTTCGGATTTTCGAATCTTTGACTGAAGGTCAGAAGAATGAAAGAATGACTATTCAAGAGAAAGTTAGAGGGGTCCCTTCTTCAGTGCTAAAACCTTCCGTTAGAACTGCAAAATCTTATTGCCCCTTCTATTTGAGTGAACAGACAGCTGCATCGTGGCTGAGATACAGAGCGCGATCTGTTTTGTGTGCATTCGTAGTGAAATTGAATACGGTAGTTTTATTTGAAACTGTATATACATCAAGCAGGTAACAACAAAAAAGGTATGTACATCAAATTTTACAATATATTTTTAACATACCTATCTGCAGAATCTGCAATAAAATTACTGGATCGTGGATAAGTTTTGGCATAACTCATACGTATATTTTTATTTGCTGTTGTTCAGTTAGGTATTATTTTAATTCCTCTATTAGGGTTTTACTCAAGTCTGTCTGGTAATTACTACATTTGAAAATAAATATTTAGGAATGTGCATGCGCTTCTACTAGCGGCGTGTGCGCGCGCTTCCACTAGCGGAGTTTAAATGCCTGACTGGACAAAACGGGGTACTTTGGCCACGACGACCTTACTCATGACTGGCACAAACTGGGCACTTCGGCACTTAAAGGTATATATGAGAGGGTAATTGGTTAAAGATTTTTATCTTCAAATAATAGGCTCCTTTTTGATAAATGGATAAGTTTGCCTGTGAAATATATAAATTATTACTTTGCCTAATTTCTAGGTTGTGACTCTTAATGCTTGTTATAAATAGCCAATCAGTGGCCGCCGTGCCGAGTGGACCCAATTGGACACCACCCCCCACGTGTCAACGACGTTGTGTACCGGTTATCATTTATTACTGACCGAGCTATCGTCACCAAAACCCAGTGCTCATACATTACTCATCTCTTCTGATAGATGGCAGAATTATACCCAGTCCTGCCAAATTGCGTAAATTCAAAAATAAAAGGAATGGTTAGGTTCATCGTGGGTTATCGTAGTAATCAGCGAGATCAGATGTGGGTTGTGTACTGCGAAAATGGAGGGAAGTAAAGATTTTTGTGGTAGCAGTTTGGATGATAACGTTGCAAATCAAACATATGCCTCTACACCTTCATCTTCGACCTCAGGATGTGTTTCTGGGGATGACACATCGGAAGGAAAAGCTGTCATTCCTGCTAGCTTAGTTACTGCAGAAAATTACTTAACCATTTCAGAGGTACAGAAGATATACTCATGTTAGGTTATGTACCATGATGTTATCATTCATTTTTATTTTATTTTAGACAAGAATGACTGCACTCTCTCCCCACTATTAAATTAAGAATTGTAGGGAAACACAGATACCTTGTTACAGGCTGGGACTAGTCTGTATTATTGCAAAAACTTTTCAGCTTTGTGTAACTGCGAAGGTCCCATTTTTATAGGAAGAACGATACCTATGTGAATTCTCATAATTCTGTTACCTAACGTGTCGCTGAATTTGTTTTTACGTACACGTCTTTGTATGTTATGCTAACACTCTGATGGTGACAATGTATTAATTTCATAGTATAATTCTAAAGCCATTGTCTATAGATAGGTATAAATGCATTCTGTGGATTATAGAAAGCAGGGTGTGAAACAAATCAGAGTACAATATTCCCCAGTCAAAATGTACTTGCAAATAAAGTATAGGTACAGAACATTTTCAACATTTTCCAAGAGCAAAGTACACTGTAATAGACAAAATCAAATATAATACATTTTGAACAATTGCTTAGAAGTTTTACAGTATAAAAATATTTAAAATGTTTTCTTCGGTGTTTTACTGGATTGCCTGCCAAATTAAACCTATACAAGTAGCTTTAAAAGTTTAGTTGGTTATTATTTCACCTATGCCATTTGAAAACACAGCTCTAGTGAGCTATCAGCTGACATATGTACATCTTTTGACACTTGAATTGAGTAGTTATTGTACTTATGAAAGTCAATCTGAAATGATGATTGGTAGGCTCTCTTTTGAATGGTATTGAGGTCCTAATTTTGAATCTATAAATATATATACTTTGTGATTTATTAAGTAATTTTTCTTCTGAAGCAAGAGGTTTGAGTTCATTCTCCTTGTAAATTAGATGCACAATTTGTGTATATGCAGTACTTTTATTTTCTTAGCACTGGTTAATTTAACAATGCTTTCTGTCAGTCACAACTGACATTATTTTATGACATGTTCTATATCCATCTTTGGATCTCTTTAACTTACAATAAATACAAATACAAATACAACTTTTGTTTTCAAAATGGATGTTATTGAAAGGTTATGATGCTACATTTTGCGGTCTTTCAACCATCATGAAGCTTTTCTAAATAATAAAATTGTGTCATTAATCGTTACTAAACTGCTTGCACGTCTGATCTGTTACAATTGGTCTTGTCATGTAAGTACAAATAATACATATAAGTATATATACACATAAGTGCTGAATGTTTTATATATGTAAATATAACTGAAATATTTTTTTGCCAAGTGGTAAATTTTTTAATTATATTATTATTTTTAAGTTTTTTAAGGTTGTCTTATTTAATAATATGGGAGTTGTTATTCGTAAAATAAATTGTGAATGGTTTCCGTTTTGTGGTGACATGAATTTGTATGGGTGTGCCTTATTATTGTCTGTGTTTGTTTATATGCTCTTATTTACTAAGCTTTGATGTTCTGTCGATATCGGCAATTATTACATTGTTGTCTGTGGGCACATATTGTCTTGCATGGGCAGTTTATTATATATTCTGTGGTAGGTTTCTCAGTCCTATCCTTGTTATTGTCCATCATTAGGATGGTGGTATTATGTTTTACTGTTTTCGGTTTCTTGTTGTGTTTCGATTTTGTAGCTCCTGTAATGATGTATTGCGTGGTTGCATTGTTGGATTTTGTGGTGTTGAATGGACCCACTTGTTTGAATGCTTTGGGTGACAGGAGGTTGTACCCCTGTTTCACTACTCAGTAGTTTTGAATGATAGGATGATTAATGAATTGAAAGAATGTGGGAGAAAATGGCATGGCCTAATTTTAAGTACTGTCCTTACGATATTATATTTAAGCATCCTGTTGCACTCTATACGATAAATGATATGAACTCCGTCCCAAGTGCAAACAATATATGTCCTTGATTTTGCTCTCCTTTACACTACATGTTTCGGCCGCAAACGGCCATCATCAGGTGTATACACTCACATTGCTGTTACACTGCACTTAGTTTAAAATTTAACATTTAAAACACATTGTTCCTAAAAATTTAGAAAAATTTAAAATTAGAACTAAAGATTTTATAAATGCTAACGTGTGTAACAAAATTAATCTATAAACCAGACAGATATCAGTGAAGTAGATGTTGATAATAACAACGAAAGGAACACTGTGTTTTAAATATTAAATTTTAAACTAAGTGCAGAGTAACAACAACGTGAGTGTATACACCTGATGATGGCCGTTTGAGGCTGAAACATGTAGTGTAAAGGAGAGCAAGATCAGGGACATATAATATATTGTTTGCACTTGGGACGGCGTTCATATCATTTAACTGTCCTTACATTTGGCATGGTAGCTGAGTGGTCTAAGATATGTGCTGTCTTCGCTTGCTCGGAACCCGGGATCGAGGTTTCGAATCCAACACAAATCATGGATGTTTGGTATGTGTATGTGTTTATTCTGTGTTTGTGTTGTCCTGTGTTTAGGTAGAGGCCTTGCAATGAGCTGATCACTCGTCTAAGGAGTCCTATCTCCTGTAAAATGATCATGAAACTGAAAAATCAGAGGGCAGGCCCCAGAGGGGCTGTAGAGCCAGTGAAAAAAAAAAAGAAGAATCCTGACATTTGGATGATTAGTAAATAGAGGACTATAAAGAATGTGGAAGAAAGTGCTTGAGGTGTGGTTTTTGGTACATCTGTTATTTGCCTGGCAGGACTGAGAACCACAGAGAACACAGTCAGAATTGCTGGTTTCTGGACCCAGATTTTAACCCAGGATCTCCCAGATACAAAGCAGGATTTACAGTTTCTTGAGCATGCAATACATGAGGTTCCCTCCTTGTAGTAATTTTGGAATAATTACATAAATCGTCATTAAATTTGCTATGAACATTATGCCATTTGGGAGTACATGTTCATCATACTTTCTGTTTCCTACCAGCAATAATACTAATTAATTAATTAATTCATTTTCCATAAATGCATACAGAAAACAATTTCATGGGATGTGGAAATAGTCACAAATAAAGGAATACAACGTACATGTAGTCATACACATCAGAAAGTACATAATAAAATATGCATAAAAATGCGCATTACTTATAAAACAATTCTTAAGTTATTGTAGTATGAGCATGATAGTGCTCCAGTAATAAAAACTTAGTAAATAATACTGAAGTGATGGTGAAATGTATTTGGTGATGTGTATGTTTTTAAGATCTATCTTTTGTTGAGGCTTTACTTATAGAATGTAAACTAAACATATGATGTTCATACAGATGTATATTTAACTTCCACTTTGATGGCAATAACTAATGTACCATTTCAGCCAAAGAGGTGATATTTGGTGTAAATAGCCAATCAGGTTTTTTATGTTTAAAATCACAAACATGCAGCAGTGTCAAGGTCTTAAAGTTACATCTTACAGCAGGTCTCTGTGCTAGTAGAAATTTGGAACAAGGATAAAATGCCAAGTCATACATCCCCCCCACAAGGTAGCATGAATAGCTCTTCCTCTATGCTTCAAATTTGGCTTACTATTCAACCCTGAAGATGGAGATGATGGTTCTCTGAAATGTCAGTTGACTTTCTCAAGGCTACATGATGTGTTAAAAAAATGTAATTCTTCAAATTTAACACAGATAATTCTGTACCTGATAAATTCTTCCCAGAAGAATTCTCAACTAGGATATGATTTATGACCAACAGTGCATTCTAAAGTGTTTATTGTTGGATATTAAATTTATGTTACATCAGTAGAATGTTAACAGCACAGGTTTTATAGACCTGGAAGTCCTTGTTCAGTGGAAAAATAAGCTTTATATATTCTACCTGGTACTCCTTGTTTCTTCATAATAGGAGACCTTAGCACTTTTTTCGGTAGATGATTTATCAAGAGCTGTAGATCAGTGCAAAGAAATGGTCCTGGAGAGTCCAGAATGTTCAGAGGAACGCAAATGGCTAGTTCGACGGCTCATTGAATTGAGGCTGAGGCTGCAGGAAGCAAGAGAAGAGGAGAAGGATTGTTCTGCATTAAACCACAATGAAGTGAGAGTGGTACTTGGGCATCACTTTGTACTACAGTCAGAGCCTTCACCAACAAGCAAACACCGTTGTGATCGGTGCTTTGGAGTGATTTGGAGTGTGGTGCATTCATGGTATCAGTGTGTAGGTATGTCTATACAGTGTTCATCTAGCATCACACTTAAGTGGTAAGGTATTTACTCTTTTTGTTTGTGCTATCATGGGGCACAGTACCTCTTTCACATATTGAAAAGATGACTGGAACATGAAGCTAACAACTCTCTCAGGTAGCACCAATGTTAAGAACATGTGGTGCTTTACGTCTTTGACTCCCATATGCCTTACGGCATTATTCTTAGGTGTAGGGTGACTAATTTTACCTGCGTTACTCTTTGAACCACAGCATTTTGGAAAACATTAACCTCGGATTGTGGAGTAGGTTACCGTACTAGTAAGTATCTGACTAATGTTTGGAAAGCGTATGTTTGAATCCTGGCCTGGGCCTACTGATCAGACAGCAAATGTTTTTGCTGTTTTCTCAAGCTTATCCAGGCCTATTTTGGCCATTGGAAGTTACCCTTCCATTATCATTTCTGATTCTCTGTCAGCAGTAGTACTAAAGAAAAACAGTATTGCAAAAAACTGAGGCGGGAGCATTGAACAATATTGTTCATAGTAGGGTCCATAAAACATTGTATGGTTATGTTCATTTGAAAATTTACAAATTTTTATAGTGTATTTAAAAGGTGATAGTGAGACAAAGCATGTATTTTCTTTTATTTGGGCAGTATTTTACAATTCTTTGTGGAAAGGTACACAAATTGTGTCTTGACAGCGTATTATAAACAAACCTGCAGATTTTGTACATAAAGGACGACATTGCATTGATGATATGTATGGAACTTTCAGGTAATGGAAATCTGCTACTGAAATTTTTGTGGGAAGGCTTGATTTTTAATTTGTACAAGTGCCAGTTTCCCTACAGATGAAGGCAATGTAAGAAATTCAGGATAATGTAAGTTCTTGTAACTTCTTGTTTCAGTTTTAGTACAAAATTTCCAGCCTGGCCCTAATGTGAGTTCCATGGTCATCAGCCAAAACAAAAGTTATATAGGGAGATTCAGCTAACATGCAGAAAGTAGTCTAAGAAGTTTCGAGTCGGTTTATATCCCAGTAGTCACTTGTCTCTTATGCTAGTTTCCTTCCAACTAAGCACTTAAAATTTTGTGATGTAAAGTGGCCAGGGCCTGAAGCTGACAACTCACCTCCAGCAGGTGCCAGGGTCAATAATGGTATAGCTATATCTCCACCCCCCCACACATGTCTTCATTGTATGGTTCTTAATTAATTAAGCACAGTGATAACTTTACTTTTTTTTTTCCAGATTGTAAGTATAGCTGTCATGTGAAGTGCCTTGTGCAGGTGTGCCGGGTGTGTGCTCATGTTAAAGCATCTGAAAATCCGACATATATTGCTGACATTTGCCCTGAGCTGGGTTTATCTGCACAGGCATACAGATGCGCAGAATGCAAAGCTCATATCACTTTTAGTAAGTATCATTATACATGTCTGTTTGCTGAACAATGAGGAATTGTACTTTATTCTCTTCTTACACTTGTCACTTTATTTGTTTTCAATTAGTTATATTTTTATTATATAATTTAAGGGAAACATTAAATTGTCTTTATTATTAAAATGACATTTTTCTCCTTAGCTTTCCCAAAAGGATTGTCATGTTTTGGACGGCCATTTACATCAGGTATAGAGCAAATAATGAACATTTTGCTTTATGTGAGATATGAATGCTTGCCATGTGGAAGTAGATTTAGTTGAATTGCTGTAATCTCCTATTTTGTATTTTATATATATATATATGTACACATAAATGTCACACATTCAAAAACTGAAAAACATTTCACTTCCCATAAGATACTAATTCATTAAATTAATGCAGTTGATAAATTAGTGTTGTCATTTTAGTCCCCATGTTACTTGGGTCTCTTTTCACCAAGGCATGGTGTGTCCTCAGGTTGTGGATTGAGGAGACAGCCTCCAGATATAGAAGGTAGCTGCAAATATATTGACTAAGCTGAGAAGGGGTGGCCCTCCAGCTTGGGGGGTTGGGCGTGGGGCTAACAATTCTTCACCTTAAAAAATAAGCTTCTTACAAAATGTCACAAAGGGCCTCAGACTTGGCTGGATCTTGTGAATAAATGACTTAAGCTAAAGAAAATGGACATGAGATTTGGTACATGGAATGTAAGAAGTCTGTATAGGGCAGGTTCACTCTTGACACTTATGAAAGAAATATCAGAATATAAATTAGATATAGTGAGAGTACAGGAGGTCAGTTGGGGCAGAGGTGGCACCAAACCAGCAGGCAGATATACATTTATCTATGAAAGAAAGAATGAAAATCATGAATTAGGTGTAGGTTTTTTCGTACATGAGAGAATCATATCAGCAGTTAAGAGGGTAAAGTTTGTTAGTGATAGGATGTCATAAGAGAACACTGGTGTGATACTGTTGTTCTGAATGTTCATGCCCCAACAGGTGATAAAATTGATGATGCCAACTTAAAACTTGTTATCAATTCCTTCTTGTTTGCTACTGTTTTGTTATGTCACTGCACAGGGGAGACATGGACACGGACATGCTCACTGTGCATGTCCAAGATTACAGATTGCGGGTATTAAAAAGTCTCATTTTAAGAGACCAGATTCTTTGCCAAAGTGTTACAACTAAAAGTGGCATCACCTTTGCAGTAGTGACTGTACCAGTTTCCTTATAACTATTTCCCCAGAATTTCCCCCACACTCAGTTGATCCTTGTGAACTAATTTTGCTAATAGGAACCTAATCATATTTGTAATATAGGACCTAAATCTTGTAAAGAATGTGTGATTGAACTTTATTCTAGAAAGATTTAAAATATTTGGCATATATAGATTAAAAAATGAACAAAATTAAAAAATGTGTATGATTGTCACCCTGAGCTTAATGCTTGATTTGTGAGGACCAAAACCGATAGGTGAATCTACTGCATATCAGTTGTGTACGCCAGTAATTTTCTAAAACTACCCACTTTTTTAAAATATCTTGTAAACTTTGAGAACTGTGGTGTTTGATCATATTTTTAATAGTTTTTAGGTATGTAGGGGGATTATTAATTGCTTCTGTGCTAATGCTTGAGAACATTCTCTTTTTGCCTCTCTTGAAGCTAATTTTTTATATTGCTTCATCTGTTAACATTTGAACTAGACTGCTGTCCTGTTGGGCTGTGGTGAAAGGTAAAATATAAATTATTAATCACATTTCTTTTATATTAACAAGAATGGAGGTTTGTATTTAAAGTTGGAGCGCACATATTTTTCATATTTGTTCTTTACTGTTTTGCAAATACCATTAGATATGATATTCATGTATTGCTAATGTCAGTTTGTTGTTGCAAAGCTAGACTGCATAGAGTCATGAAATATTTTCCTTTTTTCTTAATAAATATAAGGTGTGACAAATATTTGGACTCATGATTTTGTACAGTAACTATCGGTCCTGATGAGTTGGTTTGTATTAGAGTTCAGGGCTGTGTGATTTAGCAATTTAGTGTCAAACCATTTTTTGAATTCAGGTTTTTTATTTACTTGTTATAGTAAGTGCAGTGTTTTGTTTGCTTTCCAAAAACATAATTGATACATTACTGGAGCAGAGAATTAACTTCAAATTTATAGTGCAATTGGAGAAAAGTGCCACAAGGTTTTACAAGATATTTGGAAAATTTATGAAGAGAAAAGTATTATAACATACTTAAATACCTAAAAAATGGAAAGTGTTGCTTAAAAAACTGTTGCCAATGAGGAAAACATGATAACATTAATGAGAAGTGATCACTGATTGACTGCTCCAAAGGCGGGAGAAGAAAACAATGTGAACAGAAGAATTGATAGATTGCTTTTGACCAAAGATATGAACATGAAGAAAGTATGTGCCAAAGTGGTATTGGAAAATCTCAGCAGTGAGCAAAATAGTAAGAGAAATGACATTTACTCAGACCTTTTCAACAAAACTGTTTGAAGAACTGGACGTTTTGGAAAACAAGAATGGCTGATAATGAGCTTTTGGCCTTCCAGTGCAGCCCAGAGAAAACAACAGACTTGGTTGGTTGGTTTCCAATGGCTGCATTTGGGATCATTTAATCCATTTTGCTTCTTGCTTCCCAACAGAGAGCACTCAAGTTCTTGCTTTATTGCATCATGAAGAAGTTTGCACTTTTCTTTTGGGAAACTTTGCCAGGTTTGTTGCTCAGTTTGCACTACCCAGGGGACACGTATGACTTAAAGAATGTTACGGACGTGAGCAACTTTGTCCCCCAACAACAAACTTCTCTGTTGGAGATTTCAGAGTCTTCAAAGTGAAGATTCGTGTGAATATGTACTGTGAGGGCCTTCGTTGAAAATTTACAGCTGCTCTAGTTTTGACTTCCATGTTCACGCCTTAAATACTTCCCAAGTTCATCAGGTTGTGTATAAGAAGGGAACAAATGAAAGATATTAATAACCTTATTTTTACTTTTTTATATGTGCTCAAAATAACCCCCCAAGTTCACAGACACACGACTCAGCTCTGAGTGAAGAAGATACTCTCAAACGTTTGAAAATTCTAGGTGAATTCTTTATTATATTTACAGTTGTTAAATCTGACACCACAGTTCACGTCTAGTATTACCTATACTGGCATAGACCTGGGTTTTCAAATATCACTACAGAAGGAGAAAATTGAGATGATTCAAGCCAGATGAGCATATAGACTACTGTGTCGATGGCAAACATTCCATTGTATTCCTCAGATGTTTCTGTCCCTCAGAGTCAGCAGTCAGGAGAAATAAAAGTACAATGATTTGACACTTTCCAGTTATGGTACTTTAGTCTGTATCTTCTAGCAGCATCTGTAGCATTTCCATTGCACTCTCCTTGCACAAGATGCATGTCCACTAATTCAACAAAAGAATCTTTCCATTCTGGATGTATAACACCACAAGCTGTTAAATGAAGTTGGCTAACTAATTTTCCACTTTACAGAGAACAGTTGTATAGAACCGCGTCTTTGTGACTATGATGGGCGGTACTATTGCCCCATGTGCCATTGGAATTCAACAGCTGTTATTCCTGCAAGAGTTGTGCATAATTGGGACTTCGAGAAGCGGAGAGTGTGTCGAGCATCGAAACAGCTGCTTCGGCTCATGGAAAAGCGACCTGTGTTGAAGCTGCAGCAGCTTAACCCCAAGCTGTTTGGCTTTGTAGAGGAACTTAGTCTCGTGAAGGTATATTTGAGAGTCTACATAATGACTATAGATTAACCCGTTGCCGTGGTTCGACGTGTATGTTTCGTCAGGGATTTAAATCGTCTGGGGGGGTTCGACGTGTATGTTTCGTCCAGCTGCACACCTATGTTATAACGCCCATAATAATTGATGGTTTTGCTGTAGATTGTTAGATTTTTCGCTGGCCTGTTGTCAGTAGAACAGAGTATAAATAAGACACGACTTTATCTGCGCCAAGTCATCGTTACATATACCTGTCTTGCAGCAAAGTTCCTGT